TTGTTTTACAGGAAATTCATACAGGGACTCGAAACAAAATTGAAGCAGGGAGGCATTTCAACTGTACCCTGCATAATTGTCTTAAATTTTGTACCACAATTTGGAGTCACCAATTTTCTTAGTCCACCGCTCCGCCGGAGAAAAACTTCATCCTCCGAATCTTCGGGTTTGCGCCACAGCGGCGACGAAATTGAGAAAACCGAATACACATTGAACCGAAGTTCTCGTGCAATGAGAAATAATAATAATGAATGAATGAGTAAATACTAGGGTCGGGATGACCAAGAAAAATATCCCCGTTGGGCCTACGGCGGCTCGCGTGATATTGGCCGGAACGTTTCGGCGCAACCCGGGAATTATTACGAATTTTGTTCCCGCCCCGCTTCTCGCATTCGGAGGGGGAAAGAAAATAAAATAAGAGGCGGATATTATTACTGTAAGCATCCATGCAAGAAAAAAAATAAATAAGAAAAGATGCTCTCCAGTGAGTCGCCATCATCATCTTTCCGTAGACCAATCCAGAAACATTGTGGACGATAAGAAACGTGTACCCGGGAGTACGGCGCGGAAGTGATGGAATTAATTAGCATATCTTTCAAATGGTGCCGCCTTCGTTCTGCGGATTGAGTTGCATCAATTTGCGATAAATCAGGTTCGGACATTTACTGATCAGGAAGATTTATTGGACGAGAAAATTAATTCCATGTCGCGCAATGTACTTCCAGAGATTTTGACTCGAGGCTTTTTTCTCTATCTCGAAAGTTAACTAATTATGATTCAAATGATGACAACAAATGTTAAGTATACAGTGCGAGGTTTAGTTTATACGTTTTATCATCTTCCTTTATTCGCGTGTTATGCATATATATTTTGTCCATATTCATCCCATTGAATGAATATGAACATATACTGATTCATGATTACTTGATTTTCAACTACAGTACTATGTTCTTCTGTTCCCTTACGAATATTCCCTACTCCCAGGTTAAAATGAAGAGAATTACCATTTGAAGTGAATTACGCTATTTTGAGAAGAAAAAAATTAGAGGCCACATTTGCACGTTTTATCAATTTGCTGAAATTTTAATGATCGCCACCAATTCAAAATAATCAAAAAGCAGTCAAGCAATAATATCTCAGATTTGTCTACTATGTTCCAATGGGGAAATGTATTTTGATCATACTAATATTCATGTCAGTGTTGCTGAATAAATTAAGAGATTGTCCTGAGGTGTCTGCTATTTGAGGAAGTTGCTATCCAAATTATAGGGCTGAAATGAGAGAGAAAATTTCTCAAACAATCAGAAATTTCTTTCAAAGTTTAGTTATTAATCCTACAGTTATTTCAAGAATTCCGAACCAGACACTTGAGTAACCAAAATACTGTACTTCATTTTCAGGTACTGGGATAAAAAAAAAAGTTGTTGAAGCATCCCTGCTAAGCATTTTCTGCTAGACTTGTTTCAATTGTTCCGGTAAAAAAAGTTCCTCATTATTTGTTAAGTCTGAAGAATCGAATCAATGTAATTCAAAATAAGTACCTCGCTCAAAAACCAACAAACTTTTTTTTCGGATTTAAGCCGCTGAAATTAAGGAAGTTGTACTCTAAAGCAGCTTAATTTTATGCACAAAACTATAAGCAACAACTAAATAAACCTGCGCTTACGTCCATATCATATGTATCAAACTCGAGACTAATAAAACAGATATTATTGATCCTACGCATCGAGACGGGGGAAAAGCATGGCCTGTCCATCCGCCTCGAACGTTTTAATTTGAAGATTCTACCCAAAACGAAAAATTAGAAAATTCGGAAGAGCGGATTTCAATTGATTGTAGCTTCCGAAAAAAATAAGGAAAATCCGCGCATGATTTCCAGCGAGTGAAGTGGAGCGCAGGCGAACAGACCTGGATTTAATCACGGGACACGACGTAGTATATACAGTATATGTGCAGCAGTAATTGCCTCTTCTTTCCGGAATTAATCCGGGTTTCTTTCTGTTTTGGTCGAAAACAAACGAAAATGTTGTCGTTAATGTGGACAACAGCGCGTTTCGTGGATAAAGCACGCACGTCCGCGACACTTACTCATAATTTATTTCCACCGCGCTGCTCGTAGTGTATAAATCCGCAACACGCATCATTTTCCCTCCGTGCATGGGAATAATAATCGCGCCTCGGTCTCTTGCTTCGATCCCACCAGAAAAATAAAAAGGAATAAAATCTGAAAGAATCCCACTCTTTACTTTTATTGCTTCGAAGAATTTATATTTATAATTTTTTTTTTTGTTTCAAGAGAAACGAAACTCAGATTCTTTAGCCAGTGACGTTGACCGCGGGAATTCTCGTGAAACGCGACTAAGAATTATCCGCAAAAAACAATGAGCTACCCTACTTGGAAATCTTTTTTTAATTAACCGGCCGCCGGACTTTGCGGAATAATTGCAAAAATTATAAAAATTAGGTATTTTCAAAGCAATGCCTCGCATTATTTATATAAAATATCATACGAATTTCAACCGTTCGATGCATTTACTGACCGTTCGTAATCGGGTTATCAGCATTTAAAGTATTGTTTTCATCGGGGGAAATTTATTTTAAAATCTCTAGAAAATATTTCACAGTACTGATATCCCGTCGAATTATTAATCCTTTGCACAATCCGAACTATTACAATAAAATACTTCACTGTAACACGGATAATCAACTTGGAAAGTTAACGCATTGCTCGGAATGCATCAGTTCGAAAAATGCAGCGGTGAACAAATTTACCACATGCTTTTTTCCCTCAAGTTTTCTTATGAAACATAGAGATCTATATAATTTCAGGCACATACAGACGCTTTCCCTTCTCCGCATCTTTTCCGACGTCCTATATACATCATAAATTTCAATTTAGAATTATTGTTGGGGTTTTGATCATAAAGCAGACAGTACAATGCATGAGAGACATACTGTACTTGTAAAATATCTCAAGCTCGTGTAATTTAACGATGCAAATACTCGACGAACATTTTGAGCTGAAAATTGAAAAAGGAAGCACCTTGTTTGTCTGTTTTAAACCAACAAAGCGTGGAGAAATTCAGTTTGACTACGTAAGTACAAGCTCTGTTTATTCCACAGGGATTCGCCGTCAAGGTTTCGGATTTCTAATGATTATTTAATGGGAACCCGAAAAAAAAACAAATGCCAAAGAGAATCCATGTTTGTTTGTACAAAGGACACGCGGGATTTTGCTACCAATTTTTCTTTCAGCAGTGACAGACTACAGCGATGTACAGAGTACAGGATGTGATTATGGAATTTTCGTGTCAACCGTGTGATCATGAACATATCGTTGATTTCTCTCCCCCCCCCCCCTCCCTCGCTGAGACAATTTATGCTTTTGGACGATAGTCAGTGAATCGTCACTGCTTGACTCACGTTTTTGTTTCACATGACTAGGTTGGTTTTCTTTGATAAATATCCCTTGCGATTCCGGCGAATATAATTTCATCCTCGCAAAGTTTGAATAATTTGTTTGCGACTTCTGGAAATCATGTCAATCCAATGACGGACTGCGGCAAATTTGTCCCGAATTATCGTCAAAAAAATATAATTAACGTGCCTCCAAACAATGACACGCAATTGACTGACATCACAATTATTTTCTTCGGCTGATGATACTGTATTGACGGAGTACAGGTTTTTGCAAGAGAAATGCAGTTGAACCGTGTTAGTTATCCCGGCTTCGATGAACTATACGTTACATCAAATGTTTGCAAATTTTGAAATCAATCAGAGAATCAAAAGGCTCTCACAGTTTATTACAGTATTTCAATTCCACAGCTTGCTTTAGATCTTTCGGATTATCCAGTAAAATTGTCTCATACAAAATGAAGACTAACATGATGAATACAGTAAAGCTACGAAACGTTTGAAAAATATTTTAAATAGGAAAAGTAGAGGCATTTCGAAGGCATTTGAAAAACATGTTGCTTTTCAAGATCTGTTGAAATACTGGGAATTTCACCTCAGGTCAGTGTTAATTAATGCAATATCCTTTATCTTTGATCAATTTTCTGATAGTTTCGATATTTTCAAGAAGTTTCAGTGCAATGATGAATCCATTTCACTAAGGGAAGATAATCCAGTCGTAGCTTCAATCTCTTGAGAAAAAGTTTTATTTTGCCCATGGATCTATACTAAACGTATTCTAACAGCTTCAAAATTACTTAGAAAGGGCTTAAAACAAAAGTTAAATGAAATTCAACGTGCAGAAGTGATTAGGAAAAACCAAGAACTTTCCATTATTTTTCAATCAAGATAGAGTGGCGTGATGACAGGGCATTTTGTATCTTCGGAGCAATAAATAGAAAGACTTTTGCTAGTATATACACATTGTTTAAAATTAAGTTCTCTTGTTTCTTTGATTATAAAAATTTCAGCCATAGAAATCTAAGTGGAAAAATGGCATACGCTCTAAGCAAAATATATGGAGAAACTCCGTTTTCCGTATCATAGTGACACCCTATAGCTTGATCGTATATACCGGGATATATTCCTCACAATTCTAGGAGAATCGACAGAAAATCGAGCGTCTATATTTTTAAAAAACATCATTCGTTTCCCAGCAATCGACATCACAATTGGTAAAATAAGCTTCGTAATCAGACCTTCCCAGAAGAATCAGCTAATGAGTTTCCAGCGTTTCCCTGTCAGTCGAAGCTCTGACCAAAGGGCAAATCGCCGCCAAATGCAAATAAGAAAGACTCTGTGAGATATTGATAACAGCTTCCTTAATCTGGAAATCCTTCCATTTACGGAGAAATTCCCTTTATTTCTGCACACCCTTTTTCTTTTCTACCTTTTTCCCCCTGTTTGCCTTCTTTAGTGAACCTGCACCTCCTATAAAAAAAAATATTGTGCCGCTTTTAGTAGTAATACCGCTTTCTTTTAATAAAAAAACCGACGAGGATGGTTCTTCAAATAACCAGCCTATATATGATTCTTCCCTTTGACGATAAGATATAGTCAAAAAACTGGGAACGACGAATGCAATACTGTAAATATGTTGACTCGGATCTTCCCGAAAAATAAATTATAGATAATCAGGACGAGGAGAAGAAGACGATTTTTAGTGCAAGGATCGTTGCTGGGGGGAAAAAAAGGACGGAGGAATTCTGATCGTTTCTGAAGACGCGGAAATTTGCATAAAACGCTGTCAAGTTTTATTTTCCTTCCCTTTCTTTTCCTAATGTTACTTTTGGCAAAGAAGACGAAGAAGAAATTCCGCTTGTTGAACGCTGCTGAACGAACATTGTATTTCGCCGCGAGACTTTGACTGTGTGTGGGGGGGAACTCTGTTTGACCGGGTTGGCTTTTCCTGCGGAAAATTTTACTGCTTTCCTTCGTCCTAGCTCTAGAAAATATTGGGCAAACTTCCGCAAAGGAATCCAAGGCAATGGCAAACTCCCTGCTCACTCAGTTGACGTCAAATTAATCCAAGCTAACCGCTGAAGTTCTTTTCGTTAATTTGAGAAATACAGCCTGGAGAAAACAAGGGCTGGTATAGACGTTGTCATCAGAAAATATTGGGTCTTTTCTTCGTTTTCCGTCCACTGGAATGCCCCTTTTTCACATTTAATTCTTCTCGCAAGTTACCTGAATCGTTCATCAAATGCCCTGAGTGAGTCTATTTTATCCCTTCTCCCCCCCAACAAATTCATTTGAGTGCGAAAATTGCCAAGGTTAATAGAATCTCGTGGTCACGGTTTGAGATTTTAAAGGTCTCAGTGGCACAATTCCCATGCTTTGGCTATTCAATTCAACGTGCTGGGAAAAACATGGTGTCTGAGAGGACAGTAAAGTACTGAGTTTCAAAATTTAAATTAAGCTTTTTAATCGGGAAGCTGCAGAAGCATTTCAACTTCAAGAAATCGTGCAAGATGTCAGATGTATCAGGTCACAATTCAGGGTTGGAACAGTTCATTTCCAGTAAAGCCAACAACTGGTAAAACGTAGCAGAATGACTTTAATATTACAACAGGACAACAGTGGAGTATTTCAAGGTAATTTTATTCAGAACAGTGTTAATAATGCAATACTGTATAACTAATCCTGTTCAGGCATCACAAAACCTGTAAAAACCTAACCTCTCAGCCACGGAACAACTCCTAATACGACTAAAATTAAAATGCAATAATTTTATTCAGAACAGTGTTAATAATGCAATACTGTATAACTAATCCTGTTCAGGCATCACAAAACCTGTAAAAACGCCCTCTCAGCCACGGAACAACTCCTAATACGACTAAAATTAAAATGCAACAGAATCTCGTTACAACGACGTCATGAGGATTGGGAAGATATGATTCCACAGCAGAATGAATTACTGTACAGCGATACTCATGGAAAATGGTGCAGCAAGGACATTTTAGAAATCATTTCTGAGAGATTATTTCAACGAGTATCGTTGCAATGAGATTCCACTACTCGATATAGGATATGAAGTGGAAATAAATAGACTCACCGCCATTTCGTGCGTCGGTTTTGGAACCAGGTCTTGACTTGAGCGTCTGTCATTTTGAGGGTTTTGGCGAGCGAAGCTCTTTCTGCAGAGGCCAGGTACTTTTGCTTGACCTTTGCAAAGAGGTTAAGCCGCTAAACGTGGGACCATTTGCTTCAGGAGCCGAAGAACGCAAAACCGCCACAAGCCAAAACTATGCCCACTGGCTAGGCGGAACAGTTGCTTTTGCCAGGATCTAAAAAAATAAAAAAAGCGAAAAGAAAGAAAATGGTTTATTTCCAGAAAAAAAAATTGTGGTAATCACGAGCAGCATAACCGAAAGGAATGTTTTCAAGACCTGATCTAGAAGAAAAAGCGCACGATTGTTTGCATGTGATGTATATACAGTACATAGTACAAAATGACTGGATCAATCCGCACGCTAAAAATCAAATCATTCGGCCACCTTTTGAAAATATTTTTTGTATCGTTCATTTCAATCCCCGAACGATCCAAAACTTACGTGTCTCCTCTATATGCAACATTCTCACATAAATACTCAATTAGGCGAATCTAATGAATTTTTTTTCTGCATTCAAAGAAAAAAAATTGCAAATTACGTATGCTCATATTTCATATCCCCGACAATTGTAACTTGCTTCAAAAATTATTTGAATTTTTAAATGCTGCCTATATGTGCTTGTTCTCTCGGAATGTTTAGGCCAGCGCATCACGATGCCCAAATAAGATGGCTGAGCTACAAGAAATTTCCGGAAGCCAAGAGCAAGGAACCAACGTCACGCCAAACATCATAATTACTGTTCTCGTTTTTTTTAACCCCTGTACCTGACGGCACTTTTCAGTCGTGGGCTGGGCTTTTGGGAGCTAGTAGCAGAGTAATGTTTTCTTACAGCAAGCAGAACGGTCAGCCCACCGGTAAGTTAGGGCCGCTGAGGTCGTCATCCTGACGCTACTGCCGTCTCGGCAATCGAGAATAAATTGCGAGCAATTGCTTAATTAGCAAGCTTCATCACGAAGAAGAAAAAAACATTCAAAGAAACGACCTCCGTGTTGATAACAAGGCGGCTTTTTAATGGGAATTAATGAGGGCAACACTGAATTCGAAGGAAGACTGTAAAAAATGTGCGTCACAATAATGCCAGCAGAAGAAAAGAAAAGAAAAGAAAACCGCTCCTCGACCGCAGTTTCTCAGCAACAATAAAAATGTAGTTTTGTTAATGCTGCTTGTTTGTAACAATGATGGCGGAGATAATGTCTTTAATGGCTGCTGATGAATCTCGACGACTCGCCATGGCTCAATAACGGTAAGAAAGTCTTTTTTGTTCATTTCATACATTTTTCATAGAACACATTTAATGCTTCATTACGGTGAAATGTTACGCATCACTTCAACGCATCCACTTTTTCGCAATTACTTCCGTAATGAATTTATCCAGATTTTAAGTGGCGTTTGACTCCTCACACTGAGGAATTTGAAAAAATTCTGTAATGTTACCCGAAAATGCAAGAATGGGTCCAAAAATTCTCTCGATATAAAGTTTTGAAGTGCCGAAGCTTCTGAATCGGAATCCTGAAAATGCCTGCAGAATATTCACCAAAACAGAACATAACCCTCTTTCTAATGGCTAATAATGTCCTCCAATTGCGTGTCACAGCTCAGTTTGGCAAGTTCTTGTCCAAAATTTGACATTTCAGGACAGCCAGGCATCAACTCCAAAATTTGTTTCTAAGATCTCATCATTAAAAAAATAGCCGTCAGATCTGTGAGAGTCAGTGCGAAGAGTTTTCAATTACAGTACTTGAGAAGTTTGACTGGCAAGTGAATCTCATAATTTTTTTTTTGTATTTGAACCTGGGGAAATCGGACAAGCACTCCGAAAATTCTTCAAAAATACTCCGTAAAAACGACACTCATCGCATACAGTATTTCCAACACGCGAAGCACAAGACTGAAAAAACTTGTATTGTAATCTTTATATTGTACTGTACAATATTTTCACGGTGCAGTATCAGGAAGTGTTAGTTTGTCTGAAATTTCTTGGTCTCATGAAACAATCTTTTCTTTGTTGCAGATTCCCAGACCAAAACGAAAATGATCTTTTTCTGATATTTCTTCGACGAAATTTTCAAACTAGCTTCCAATTTGTTTCTCCCGTGAATTTGTCAGCAGTCTGTGGTGACGATCGACGCATCCACCAGGCGCTATAAAATCATGGAGATCGTCAGTCGTCACCGACTCGCTCGCAAGTCACAAAAAATATATATAAAAAGATAAAAGAGACACAAACACGAGCGTGGCAATAAACACTGGGTTCGACACCGTTGACTCGAAGCAGGCGCCGAACCGCATCTCCTTCATCTGTTGTCCCAAAATAAACTCGAACATTAAAAAAAATGTCTATAAAAATAACGAGAAAAATATGTAAATAGACGACGAAACGGGAGGTACGAACCCTAAGGGTTTTAAAATACCAGATTGTAAAAAATTACAATCGATCAAGCGTCGCTCAGCAGAAACAATTTACGAGGGGCCTTGTTATCCGTGATGGAAAGTCCTTTATTCGAACCAGACGGAAGTGAAGGGAAAGAACAAACGTGGCTCCCACGTACACAGAGCTGAAACGTGACGCAAGTCTTAGTTTACGTTTTCGCCTCAAACAGAGACGATACCGAAGTACAGTACAGTACATGAGAGCCATGGCTGAACAGCTTTAGTTTAGCTTTCTTCATTCTTTTTATCTTGTCTCAAACCGATGTCATGAACTCTTGAAATACTAAGAAAACGATTTAAAAAAAAAAAGCAAATTGGAAGTTGCTGAGTACTATACAAGTATTTCACGGTAAATGCGTCACAAACAAAGTCGTGCGCTCGTTTTTAGAGCCTGAACAAGATGTACTCGCAGTTTTCGCTGGAAAGAATGGGATTGGAAAAATGTACTGTACTACATCAAGCGTGTCGAACACCTTTCCTCGACAAATGAAAAATTTTGAAAGTCTGGAATTTTGATGACCGCGAAGTTAAACTGCATCTTCAGATATACAGTACTGTAAAAAAAAAAATCATATCAGAAACTTTCGGGCTCTAATAGAGCTTACAGTAATTAGTTAATTTTTTCTCAGTCGGGTTCAGCATTTTAGTCTCAGTCCACATGTTAGAAATAATACTGAGGCGAATCTTTCATCCTTAATAATTTCGAGTGCTGTTGAAAACGATCCGTTTGCAGTTGAAGTTATTTCCACTTCGTAAATTCGTTTCTGCTTTCAAAATTTAATACCTGAAGCAGAGCCAGCAAATATGTTACCATTTTCTGTCGAAAAGAATATTTTTCTGCTATGCGTCTACAAATGTCTTATTTTCCAGAGGAAATCATTTAATTTGTAAATTTTACTGCACTTTCAATGTTCTTCGTCTCTTTGTTCAGGTTTCTGACGTATGTTCTCCGCAGTAAAAAAAAAATATCGCATCCAACAATTATCAAGGTTAATTAAAATTTAAATTTCGCAATGCCGAATCCTTCAGCTTTATGTTTGGTGATCACTTTCCTTTTTAAATGATGTACGAGTCACAAATATTTGCATTTAACGTGCGTGATATTAATTCCGGGCTTCTTCACGAGATGATCGGTGGATCTTGCCGTTGCGTTTCAGTTTTTTTTTTTCTCGTTTCCATTTATAATCGCAGATATAGACGAAAAAAGGTCAACAGTTTCTTAAGTCGGTCAACCTTCCATCCCGTGAATGCAATCTTCCTTGGCAGTAATGGCTCTGTGACCACCGGTTTCCAGGGACAGCAGCAGAACAATCGTAAAACCATCTCCCAAGTACCTTTTTCCCTGGAACTCGCATCTCCTCTCAAACGGCAAAAAAGATATTTTTTTTTTTTTGCAAGCCAGCAACGGAAGTTGATAACCGTTCCACCAACCGACGAAAACGGCTGAAACTCGGCTTTGCAAAGGGACGGGAACTGAACTGGGTATTTGGGAGTGGGGGGTTGCAATTAACGCGTCCCTTGTCACAAAGATTGAGTCGGCATAGAGAAAACAAACCTTTGAACAAGTGGGGGAAGAATAAGAGCAGAACACGCAGGTAAAAAAGAAGAACCTCGGACGGAGACATGAGGAGGATGAATGGGAAGAGGGGATACTTCATGTGGGAACCACGAAAAGTTTCCCCCATTTCTGCAGCAAGGGAACTGGGTTTCTGAAGAATTTCATTGACCGTGCAAAATTAGGAATACCGTATTGTAATGAAATAGGAAATGGATTCGGTTTCGTAAGAAAATGCTTTAAAAATCAGGTTGCTTTCTGTGTATTTGATGACGTCTTTTTTGTGCAATTTATTTGTGCAACTCTAGCCGTGTGCAAGTATTGACTGTATACAAGTACCAGCACAGGCTCTGCATGAAATATGATGCACACCTTGATTTTTCAGAGGAAAATTTGCGTAAAACTTTTTTCTTCCATTATACCCACGCCCCGGTTTTTGAGATCAATAAAGTCAATATTAAAATCCACAAGCGATATACTGTAAATTTAAATTTTGAATTTCAAAAAGTAAGGAACATAAAACCAAGCCATAAAAACAGAAATCAATTCCATTCCCTTTTTCAACTTTAAAATGTTCAGCATTGTCGTTTCTGGACATTTTTATATTTTATCTTCTGATTTGAGCTCAAGACTCCAAAATGTCAACTTTTTACCCCTGTAAAACCGCGCATTTATTTTTTGAATTAATTACCAGAAAAAAACGTGCCGAAGCAAAAACAGTTAGTGGGATCTGTTCCTTTTTAACCAATAAACACAATCCTTTCAATACAATTTCGTCCAAAACTTAAGTGAAGAAAATATAGCTTAATTTTCATTGCAAAGGTTAAAAGTATAGAATCCTGGGTTCGTCTGTAGAAAATGTTTGGGAATACAGTATCAAGTCAACACTGTAGAGTACAAGCAGAACCAACAGGCTTTGACATTTCAGAACATTGTTATTTCGCTGGATAATATCCTCATATGGTCAGAAGAAAAAGAAAACTCACACACGGAGAAATCAATCTCTCTTTTTTTAATTTCCGAGTTTTCATGGTTAATTCATTTAAAAAAAAAAAATTCAAGGTT